TGGCTGTTGGCCTTGCTTGCCTGGAGCAGAGTCCCTTGGGTTGCCCCAGGGCTGCCATCTCAAGCCTAGCAGGGCACCAGGAATCAAACGCTTGGGTTCTTTCCCCACCCTAGATCAGTGGAGAGCAAGAAAAAAGCCGTGCAGAGGATTGAGGAGCAGCTGATGAAGCTGGAGGTTCAGGCGACGGATCGGGAGGAGAACAAGCAGATCGCCTTGGGCACCTCCAAACTCAACTATCTGGATCCCAGGATCTCTGTGGCTTGGTAAGCATCTGCCTGGGGTGTGCTGGGAGGAACGGCCCCTTCCCTGCTGCCCCCTCCCCCCAGTTAGCAGGCAGGGGCCGTGGCTGAGGGCAGAGCCCCCGTGTGCTGTCTCTGGGGCCCCTTCCCCTGGTTTCAGCGGCGGGAGGGTGGGGTGGGGTGTCCTGTCGGAGCAGAGCTTCAAGAGGGTGCAGGGGGAGCAGGATGGGTCCCACTGCAGGGCGTGGGGCTGACGCTGCCTCTAACAGCAGCTCATCTTCTGCAGGTGTAAGAAGTGGGGCATCCCTATAGAGAAGATTTATAACAAAACCCAACGAGAGAAGTTTGCCTGGGCTATCGACATGGCAGAGGAAGACTATGAGTTTTAACCTGTTTTTAATCAGCTGAATTTTATGAGGAAGAATCTAAAAAAAAAAAAAAAGGGGGGAGTAGCCTGGTTTTTAGGGAGATTGATAAACTGTGAGCCTTACTTGTCCTCAGATGCTGGGGAAGGGGGAGGAAAGGGGCAAGTGAGCACCGGAAAAAAACAGCCAACATCTTGCAGAAAGCATAACCTGGAACTGTCCTAAAGGAGCTGAGCCAGTTGTCCTATGGACAACTTATTTAAAAGTGTTTCAGAGATCCAAAATTCTAGCTGTCTGCTTTGTGTGGTTTTTTTCTCTTTGAGGCAGGGCAAGTGGATGGGGGATTTGTCAACCTTCCGCCAGGCAAATTCACCATCACACTGAGAGCGTGGGAATCTTTAGCTACTGTATACAAAATCCAATTATATTGGTGCGTTTTTACAGTTAGGGTTTTGCAATAACTTCTATATTTTAATAGAAAATGGACTCCTTAACCCCTGCCCTTCCCCTCCCCCTCCCGCCCCATTTCAGAATTTAACAAAAAACAAAACAAACCCACCCCAAAACGGAAGAAACCCAACGCACCTGTCAGAGCTGTCACTAGAGTCATGGAAATACCCAAAATCTTTCTCAATTTGTCACTTGGAACAGTCACAGCGTTGGAACATAAATGACAAACATCCCCCAGGGGGGGCTCAGAGCAAAAGCCCGATGGGAAATCGGCCTCCTGACTTGGGAGTGTTCTTTTTTTTTTTATTAAATGTGAATTTTTATTTCTTTTAATTATTTTAAAAATATTTAAACAGTTCTTTTTCTTCTTGATCTTAAAGATCGTGTAGATTTGGGGAGGGGGCCGTGTGATGGGGGGGAGACGTGTGTGGAATCTGGGGACAAGTGAAATTGGCAGCAAGTGACATTCCCATTGTCCCTTTGCTCTGAACTCGCTCTGTACACTTCAAAAATACTTTTTAGGTTTGTCAGACTTTATTTTTTTTCCCCCCCCCTTTTTTTCTAAGCCCCCCACTCCCCTCTTTTACTTGAAAGATTTTATTGTGTAAAAAGTTTCACAGGTCAATAAATTTCGAGGGAAATGAGCGAGCATTGGTCCAAAAAAAAAAAAAATAAACCAAGATTTTAGGGCTTTTATTTTTTTCTTTTGTAATTGTGTAAAAAAATTTTAAAAAAAGTAAAAGGCAGAATTTTAATGTGAAACCTTTTTTTGCTATTATCATTAGTCTTAGAGGCATTGTTAGCGTAGTGTGTGTGCGAAGACCATTTCCTGCAGCCTTTCCTCAACAAGTATCTTCTATTTTTATCATGAATTCCCTTTTAATCAACTGTAGGTTATTTAAAATAAATTCCTACAACTTAACTGAGCGTTGGTGTCTGCGTGTTCTGTCCCCTGGGGCCCTGGGCCACGAGGTCCTCACGTTGGGGGCCTGGCTGCTTGGAGGACGTTGAGGCCATGACCATGGCCAGGGGGGTTGGGATTGACCCAACAGTTGTCTTCAGCAGGGGTGGGTGCAGAACATGGGTTCACAAGGATGGACCAGGGAGGTGACAGAAGCACCTGGCTGTGGCTGGCTTTTGGGAGGGGTAACACCTTCCAGGGTTGACCTCGGTGCCCTTGGGCTGGAGTGGCCACGGCTGCTGCTTTGCTTGCCTGTGCTGCCTCACAGCAGCCCTGTGCTCCATGGTGCACCTGTGGGCACTAGCCAGGACCCCAAGGGGTGCAGAAGTTGGTCCTTCAGCATCAGAACGTGGGGGTTCTTGGAGAGCTGACCAGGCTGGACCCTGCTGCGAGCTCCCGTTAATGCCAGGCCTCTGAGGTGGTCCCACAGCCCAGCCGGTGCCCAGAGCCCCCATCTGCTCTGCCCACGTGGCAGCAGCCTGCTCCCCTGGGTCAGTTTGTGCTCCTCTGGGTCAGTTTGTGCTCCTCTGGTTCAGTTTGTGTCCCCCCCAGGGAAAACTGCCTTCAGTGAGACACTTCAGCAGCAGCAGGACCCTGGCACCCCCAGCTTGGGCTCTGGGTGTGGCACTGCCTGGCTCCCGTTCCCAACCCCAGCAGGAGCTGCCTGGAGGATTTTATCCTGTTCCCCAAGGAGCTGCGTGGTGGCTGCTGGAGCCCTGGCATAAGGGCACCTGTGGCTGGGGACCCTGCAGGGTGGTGGCTGTGGCTTCAGAGAGAAGTGACCTGAGGCAGCAGGAGCTGGGGGCACAGCCAGGCTGCCCTCTGGCAGGAAGGGGAGGGGGGGATGGTGCTTC